TTTTTTTTTTTTTTTTTTTGCAATCTAAATAGTTGTCAAATTTTACCAAAACTGTAGAAGTTACGAGTTTTTTCATGCCTGCGTATATCAAGCTTCACCGCCCAGGCATGCACTGTGAGTGAGGGGTAAATTTTATATGGAATGACCCATATGTATATATGTATATGCATATACATTTGCGATCAGGTAATTAAGCCAACAATGTTTTAATCAATTTTGGCTAATTTTCTTTCGTTTACTTCATGTTTATTATTTTTTCATTAAAGTCTAGCTTATTATATAACAAACACCCTATAAATCTATATTTCAAACTTTGTGCAAAAATTACAAAAAAAAATCTGCAAAGTTTCATCTAAATTTTCATAATTTTTTCAGATTTTCCAGAATTTTTTATTTTTTTTGAGTATGCAGTTTTTTGGCCCAAAACATTCTGGTGATGCAAGTCTTAAGTTGCTAAAAAATCGCGCGTTCACGGAGTTTCTTCCATACAAAGAATATTCGACAAATTCAGATGAAACTTTGCAGATTTTGTATAATTTTTGCACAAAGTTTGAAATTTGGATTTTTATGGCGTTTATTATACATTGAGCTACACTTTAATGAAAAAATAATAAGTATTAGATAAAGAAGAGAAAAATAGCATAAATTTATCAAAACGTTGCTGACTGAATTAGCTAATCGCAAGTGTATATCTAAATATTTATATATTTCGCGTACTGAAATCTAAGGCTATTTAATTTTAATTACAAACTAATTTTATATAAATACTAACACATATTACTCAATAAACTGTTTGGTAAAAAACAGTACTTTTAAAGATTTACAAATAAATTAAATTTTTTTTATGTTTTATTTTTTTTTTTTAAAGTCAGCAGTGCGCCGTGAAACAATACAGATAAAAGAAAAAAAAAATAAGGGAATAATAGCTTTTCGAAGTTGAAACTTGTGTCACATTGACAGTAGCGACGGATGCGTGTTAAGCAAACTACAAACCTTTTATATTATGAAACTATGTAGTTTATAACAAGGAATGAAACCGATTCAAAATAACGTTCCGGTTTGGGTTTCGGTTTTGCCAAGTGTTTCGGTTTCGGTTTTGGTTTCGTTCTTCAAAATTTATTTCGGTTTTGGTTTCGGTTTCGTTCCGGTTTCGGTTTTTTTCACAGAAATTTTGTTGATATTATTTAAATCACAATGTCTTAAAGGTTGAGGAAAGAACATTGAAAATTACAGTTCACTGATAATATCAACACTAGGTTCTTTCCCTAACAATCCGGACCGGATTTGGTAATTAGAGAATAAGAGAAACATTTTCTTTCAAAAATGGAACAAAGTTCAGAAGTACGGAAACGCAAAAACCACATTTCGTGCCCACAAGTCGAGAAACAGCTGATTCACGTTGTTCTTGTTTTTGTCATTCTCTCATCTCGCATTGCGTACGGGAAAGAAACTACTTAAATATAATTAATCGATTATCGATTCACAACACCAAAGTCATCAGCAGATTTTTGCGAAAAGTTACCTTGCCATACTTATTTACTACTTAACAAGAATTTTAGCAAAATGTTTCTGATTTTGGTTAAATAAATCATTTATTTCAAAGAAATTTTTATTTATTATTTTTGTAAATTTCTGGAAACCGATTGAAACCTGTGATTGAAATGGTTTCGGTATCGTTCCTTTTCAGGTCAAGATAACGGTTACGGTTTCGGTTTCGGTTTTGAAAAACGAAACGGTTTTAAACGGTTACGGTTTCGGTTTGGGTTTCGGTTTCATTCCTTGGTTTATAATTTGGTTTTCCAAATTTCGTGTAAAATAAACATTTCTAAATAAATCTCCCGTTTTGTCTATTTTACGGATTTCAGTAACTTTTATGCTATTTTTAGTACCTTTTCCCTGCCTACTTTTGCCTTTTTATAGTTTTTTAGGTCCTCAACATACATACATACATATAAGGATTAGTTATACATGTCAGCGCCTGTCATAGTATTCACACGCAATAGACCAATGAATTAATACATTAAAACATACAACTAAATGCACCATTTGTCTTTATTTGTTAGCTATGTACATTTAGTTACGTCATTAATCACGAAAAATGTACAAATAAACGACACATTTGCTGTTGAAGCGGTAACACGACCGCAATTATTTAACTGTTTCCACCTACTTCGAATCTAAACTTTTGACAATTAACTTGATTACGTTGTCAAACACCGAAAACTGCCGAAAACAACTCACGCGTTAATAGCTGCGGCGTTGTCGGAAATATTTTGTTTTTATACTACATTCGTAAACTGTGGCCCATTAAGTGGCCAAGAAACAAAGAAAATCGCATATCATTTATCAACATCATTTATCAAATAATTAACATTGCTGTTTTTTTTTTATATTCTTCATTAGGCACTCCGCACACTGGTCGCTTAATCGTGGTAGTGTAATCATTTCGGCATACTATTCTTTGGAGCTTTTGTGCCGATCACTAGGGTGCTGGGCCACCGGAACTATAAACCTCATTATATTTCAAGAATTCCGCCAATATATATCGGGAAATCATCAAGATTTACGTAAGGTAGGCCGATATGAGGATACCACCAAAAATTTCATTCATTCATTTTAATTCCGTTAATAAAACTTTTCACCATTTTATGCAGACCTTTTGAGCTTAGACTCTACTTTCTTTTGAGGTGATTTTTTAGACAAAATATTTTTAAAAACTAATTTTCTTGTATTTTCAATTAGGTCCAGCTCACCAAATCTTAATGTATTTCTGAAATATTTGGGGGGAATTCTTAAAATACAAAATATTTCCTATTTCGGTTGGAAAACAGCACCGTTTCCTTTTTCTTTTGTATGAAGTGTAATGGTTCCTAATGTACATATTTCAATTAACCTCTCTACACTATGATACCTAATCATGTTTTCGCGTAAGTGTGCAGAGGTCGATTCGTCATGTATTTGTTAAGGCAAGGCGAAATGACCGTTCGACTATGTTTCAGCATGTACATAATGTGTGGAGTGCCTTAAGCGCTCTATGGCGAAAATACTTTTGCTAATGTGAATTAGCATTTCGTTGTTTTTGTTTTGATAGTAAGTAATGGCCAATAGTGCGGCGCAAATAATGTTGACAATTTAAAATCGCATTTTCTCGCTTATTTTTGTTGTGGGGCTTAATGGCGTACTATTTGTTTCATCAGCTATGCAAGGATGTGGTAATTTTTCCCCGTGTTGCAAAGTCCACTCATCCAAGCTATACAGAGGTTGTAAAAAATTTTCCAGAATTACTGTTTCATTCATGCACTCAAAGCAAAAAAACTGTCATGTTTATCGAATTATACAAGTTATTGTAAATTTTGGACTTAATTTGCATACTAAATTTGCGTAAAATATTTTTTCAAGGCAATTTCGAAAAGATTTTTTTGCTTAATGTCGCCTTTTATATTTTTCGTAATATTTTCGGCATTTACAGTAGGATTTTAAAATATGATTAATCAATGTTCTTGCCTCTAGGAGACCTGGAAAATCCACTATCGATGAAATTTTCACAATTTCTGAAATCCTGGGGAAGACACTAAACATATATGCGAACCGACACACGACATCTCTTAGTTTACTTTACAGCCGCTTCTGAGAGTACGAGGAGTAGTTCCGTCCAAGTTAGGAAGGACCTCGCCGCGCTATTCGAGCCAATCGAGGTTTTAGGCAACGTGACCCAGAGTCATGCGAAATTTTCAATCCCGTCTTACAAAGCGTAATACCAGCTGCCATTCGGAATCGAATCGGTGGCGGTGAATGACGACAAGTATCTCGTTTTAGTAAGGTTCTTCGCGTACTTAGACGCACGTCGCATTTAGAAAGTTAACATTTTGAAGTAATCACGTTTGAGTTACTTCGCCTTGATTTTCAGTAAAAAAATATTGAGCTTCAGCTCCTCCATTAGTGTGAAAATTGAGTCCTAGCTTTGGCTAACTTTTTATGCATGGGGCCCATTGTCACGCCGCGGTGCTCGTTACGTTTGATCAATGTATTAATTCGCTGCGCTATGCCCAGTACTCACCGTCGCTAACGCGTAAGAGCCCGTAAATCTTGCGCAAAATCTTTCTCTCGAATATTGTAAGGTCCGCCTCATCGGCTGTGGTCATTGTCCATGCTTCTCCACTATCTAACAGCACGGACATGAAGAGTGACTTATAGATAGTGGCAGAGAAAGCTGAACAGACATAACCCTTGTTTTTATCGATAATGTCGATGCCTTCTTATTAGCGGCCCGGAGAATTTCGTCACAGAGCTAGTTGCCAAACTTTCCAGTGTGTATCTTGGCTACAACAAGGTATTGGTGCTAGTCCATGTTTGGTCCTTGGAATGAACGTGCATCTAAAATACTGGATCGATTCGGTTTCTCATTTTTCTTTTTCGATCTGGAGAGAGCCCAACGTCATGGATCTTTGTATGCTGCCACCAAGTACTGTATACTACCGTGTTTCGGGCCCCGGCGAAGCCGATCCGGTATCGAACGTTTCGTGGTGGAGGCTGAACTTTCCGAATGACGTACTAAAGATCTTTTCCTTTCCCATCCTAGAAATGAAGTCGCCAAGCACCGGGGATAACTAACACCGAATTTCAGCTCCTTTACGTTGCAGCTGTCAGAGGACGGTAATGTCAGCCCTTGTCTTTTCAATGGCACCAACCAGGCACATTCCCCATTAATTTAGGTTTTCCAACCCAATTAGGTTTCTCCTTCTCATAATTAGCTCGGTTCCGAACAAGTCCCACACCATCTTCAGTTATATTTTCGGATCTGATTTTTGAAGATTGTGTGCGACGTGTTCGGGTTCTACGCAGATGATACTGGAAGTCGTGAGCAGCTCCACTCCACTGAAGAATGGCGATCAAAAAAGTTCACCATATGCGCGGACTTCTGTTCCCATAAACAACTTTCAAAACTATTGGGGAAAATAAATAAAAGTAAGAAACCGAAAGAAAATTTTACTACATACATACATATGTACATAATAATTTTTAGGGCCTTACATATTTCTCATTAATTTAATATCTGTAAACAAGCGAAGTGCATCCCTACCGATATTGATTAATCGATATATTGTTAAAAAGTACTTTTAAGCTAGAAGCTGGACAAAGATAAAAGGCTGTGCAGGAAAATGTCGAGCACACTTTAGATACACTAAATGCTAAAAGCAGTGATGTATTTAAGAAAGAAGAAGAAGAAACTCATCTACCGCGAAGATATTAGAGCGGCGCAATTGCAGATTGCTCTACCTGTAAACGGGAACAATAGAGGGTGCCTTGTTTCATCATGATATTAATGGCCGGTAACTCGGCCCATTGGTGGAAACCTAATACAAAAGTGGCCACGAACGTGTTTATTTTTAATATGACTAACGGAAAGCAGAGCCAATTTTTCTTTTTCGGTTGCAAGTGCAATCTGGTCCTTTGGGCACACACGGGTTTGATTTAATTAAAATAAATTTGAGAAATTTTAATAAAAAATAAGGGATACACATTTGGTGGAAAAATTACGACCTTAAACTTCAAGTAATAATAACATTTAGTTTCTTATAGTATTCAATTCTTTATCGATCGATAAATATGTACACATATTTTTAATGCCTTTGTGTAGATGCAAGCGCTCTAAAATATGTGCTCTTGTGTCAGTTTATTTCTTTTTAATTCATCCTCGCTTTTCTGTTGTATCTCCTTCGACATTAATCTTGGTGCATTAATATTCATGCATCGCCTTAATTATCCAAACACCAATGCTCTGTGGAAGATTTTTTAATTTACATTTTGCATTTACTCGCTGCTTTAGTCCAGTAATGAGCTTTTAATTGCCATTTGCATTGAAGTGGCATGGCAAAGTTTGTGTCAAGTGTACTTGAAACTTGACTGACTGGGGGGAAAGAAATATAATCGAATGTTTTGAATAAATTGAGTGAGTGGTACTTAATTCTTGAATATTCAATTGATGACGAAATTGAGAGCTACTCAATTTATTTTTTATTTCGATTTAAAATCAGACTATGTATGCAAATATTTTTTATCACCATTTAGTTTCAAGCAACTAAGAAATATCAAAATTTACCGATAAAGTGGCTAGCTCCCTACTCTGAGGACCTCTGTGTCGCTCTAACACTACTACCGAGAGAGTGCAAGGTATCTTACGGATCAGTAGCAACCCCGGTAGCCAAATCACAACTATCCATGGAATAATAATAGTGCTTGGCCGAGATTCTCCAAAGCAATTGCTTAGTTTTTATTTATAAGGCCCAATGAAAGTAAATCTTTGACTTCTATTCTCTGGTTGCCAGTGTCCCTATGTCATTGGATTTTCATCTTTGTCACAGCTTAAACTATTAAAAATAAATTACGATGAGATGGAGAAAAATACTCTCCCAGGTTGGACTTTCACCATTGTTGGGAGTTCAGTGAGAGGCGTAATTGTGAAATTAGCTGTACCTATGATTGACGGTTTTTATGCCGCATCACTCTCCATTCACAACAAAAAATCCGTACGGTTACGGTTATATATTTTAAGATTTCCGCCAAAAAATTTCAGAACAATGTTAAGATTCACTTGTGCTGAACCGATTTAAAAATGTCTCCAAAGATCTAATCGTATTTCGAAGGCTTATATTCAATATTACCTATCTGTAATTTTTACAAAAATAAGATCCCTATACAGAAATCCACCTAACACTTAACTGTTATCGATTATGTTAATGCTGACCGTGTTTATCGCTCCTCAAAACAATTAGCTATTTAATTTCAAATTTAAAAATGCTACCTGTAATGAAAGTTAAGTCTCAGATGGGTTCTAACATCAGAAAGTAGTTTTTGAATAAACTGCAGAGCAGTGAATATAAGCCCTCGATATGAATAAAACTTTGTTAAATATGTTTTCCAAAAACTTACCTCAGATGATAGAAGAGTTTAAGCTTAAGAGGTCTGCATAAAGATTTTCAAAAATTTTTTCAACAGAATAATTAAGAATTAATTATTTTTCTGGAATATTTTGGCGAAAGTCATAAAATATAACAATTTTTGCAATTCCGGTGAACAAAAACACAACTTTTTGGGTGAGGCACCCTAATGTACATACATATATACATGTGTGTGTACATAAGGATGCATCCTTCCCATAAAAAAAACGGCGCTGCTTTCCCTCGGAATCATAAAACTGATTATAATTTTACACTTTCAATAAATATTTCGGAAAATTATGAAGATTTACTGAAATCTAGGTTTTTATTAATATAATTATCTTTTAAATTTTATTTTTTCAAAAACAACCTCAGATGAAAGAAGAGGTCAGCATACAATTTCTTTAAACAACACAATCAAAATACTGGTGTTTTCGGAGGTAATTTCAAATCGGTCCAGCACAAGTTAATGTTAATATTTTTCCGAAATATTTTGGCGCAAGTCTAAAATTGCAATAAATTGTATAATTTCGGTGGAAAACGCGCAACTTTTTTTGGCGAGGCACCGTAATGTACATATGTACCGAGTACCACGGTCACAGATATCACATATAAATTTTGGTCCCGATTGGAGACGGTTGAGACGTGTCGGATAGGGGGCAAGATAAAGTCTATAGAGACTCAAAAAATTAAAATTATTATTTTTTTTATCTAATACCCAAAATCAATGCTACCATAGATGGGAATATCACATATAAATTTTCCTCCCGATTGGAGTCGGTTAAGACGTCTTCATAGGGTAATCTGAATTTTGGCCGCTGTGCGACACGCCTTAACCGTCTCCAATCGGAACCAAAATTTATATGTGATATCTTCGACTATAGTAGCATCAACGTAGGGATTGAGGAAATCTGATGTAAAAATTTTGTTCCTATATTTAAGAAACACCCTAATTTACATAGATATGAATGCGAAAAGCAAATGATGACTTATGACTTATATGCAAAATACTCAACGTCTGACATAGTGCCCCACAAACGCGACCAACCAGCTAGTGATAGTTATACATATATAACGCTACAGTTAATTTACCTCAAGACAACATTGGTGCAGAAGTTTCCTTACCTTAAACGCCAAACCACAATTCTCTTCAGCTGCATTTGAACTCAATTTTATTTTAATTAATAAATTTTCTCTTTTTTCCTTATTAACATGACCTTATTTCATCGACATCGATGGCTTGACATTATGATTGCAATAACCTTCCGTTTTACTTACGAATAGATTTGTCATCAATCTATTGATATATGTACATGTAGATGTGTATGTAGAATACTTATGTAATAACTGTTATTGGCCAATTCACCTACGCCAACTCAATGCGCGCTACCATTACTCGCCGATGACAGAGGGCGTAGATTACTAACACATTCACCCAGCGCACCATCCTGATGAAATTGTATAAGTACCAGCTCATATGTCACAATCGTTCCAGCAACCTTAAAAGGATTGAATATACAGCAACAACAAAATCACTTCATGCATAACCACTTATAAGGATATATCATAAAAGAGGAAAAGGAGAACCAGAGCAATAATTGCTTAACTAGAATATGGTAAACTGAGATATGAGCGGGCAAATTCAGAAGAAGAAGAAAACAAGATGGAATAAAATTGCTTGAGTTGAAGGAAAGAGAGGTCGAACTCTGTAAGTGCTTGCAAATATGCATGGAATGCAGGTGGTGGCATAGATACAGGAATGCGCTGAAGCGAATAGTAAGTGTATGTAGGTGGTAAAATGAGTGAATGGGTAATCTAATTGACGGTGTATTACTCGCAGCAGTACATATGTGAGTACACGTGACTGATCGTGAACAAACGACAGCGGAATGCAACTTACGCTCAGCACCAATTTCCGTGTGAGATAAAAGAATTTCATGCCACTTAATGCAACCAAATCACTGTTAATATCGTCCGAGAAACGTTTCACCTCAGTGCACCACGATTCCTTGGGTATGCAGCGTAGAACGCGCAACGGTTTGCGAGATTCATCATTGATGCTGGCCGAACACAATGAGACAGCCAATGTGCGACCGATAAGAAAGAAAAGCGAGAAGTAAAAGTAGACGAGTTGTGCGAACGAAGGCATTTTACTACAATAAAACGTGGGCGGAAAAGGAGACATGAAACGAAAATTGCCGGCTTTTATTCATGAGCAAAATAAATTGGACTAGAAGTATGCATGTACTGTACATGTATATATACTGTAAAGAGACTCACTTAAGGCTACGCAGCAGTTGCACACAAATAAAATACAAATTATTCGAAAAGGATATCATTGTGATGAGCGAAATGGCGCCATCAATGCGTGCGCAAAGCTCACAAAGGTTCCGGTATTGTTTGCGGCGAGTCAACCAGAAGATCTCGGGCATTTGCTGTCTCGATGCGTGTGGTATGCGAACAGACGGCAATGGCAGACAATTAAAAGTGACAGGCAATATTTGAGCGATTAAAAAAAAATAAAGAATGCAATCCATAGACTAGAAAGTTTTTCTTACCATGCCCTTGAACTTGAATAAGTTATCATTGAGCTGCTTAAATTTTGCCGCCAATCCCAGACTGACAATCATCACAAACACATCCATAAAATTCCAAATGAAGGTGCATATAATATTCTCTAATTTTCCACAAATAGCTAAATACACAGAGTAAGGGAAGACATCGAAAATTTGCTGATTGGTAAGAATAAAGTAATCCTTAATTGGGTCATCAGACTGTGGACAGGCATTGGAGTAGAGTATGTTGGAAATAATGTTCAGTAAATGCTCGGCTGATAAATGAAAAGAAAAAGTTGTAATTAGTTCATATTTACTTAAATAGTTATCTTACATCTCAGCTACATACATACGAGCATATGTAAATAATGCATAGAGCTTCACACATATTTTTTATAAGAATTTATATTTTATATTCACACTTTATAGAAATACTGCATTTTCGTTTTAATACTTCATTAATTTTTTTTTTACTCCGCTGGCAGAAAAGCTATGAACTTCAATGAGAAATAAGAAATGTTGTATTTAAGTTTTTTTACCAACTAAGTGTAATAGTACAAATGCTGTCGTCCGAAAAAAGTTTAGTACCCAAGTGGCACAAAAACTTGGAAAAAAAATGGTCGTATGATAATGTAAAAGCCTTTTGAGTGTAATTAACAGTTTAAATGGCACTGTGGTTGTGGTTTATTTAATTATAGTCTTTTTTTAAGAACGTTTTCCTCTCAGTGCGTGTACATGGCGTATGAGCAACTTTTTTGGTTTGTACATAAAAATGTAGCCTGCTGTTCGTTGGAATTCGCATCACTTGAGTGTAACAGCGCACAGTGGTTCAAAACTGGCATTTACTGTAATTCACTGGAGCCTTCATTTTTCACACAATTTGATTAATTTTTTTAATGAAAGCTTATAAAATTTGCAAGAGACTAATTGATCGGGCTGAATTTTGAAGAAAGTCGATTCTCCTGTTCCAATTAATAAATGTTGCATAAGAAAAACAATTTGGAAAACAATTGTTCCCCCAAAACGAAAAAAAAAATCCACAAAATGAAACTTAAAAGTAAAAAAAAATTCATCTAGTTAGTTTTTATAGTTCCTAAAAAAATTTTTTAGCATAGTAAATGCAAGTTTCAAGTAGCTAAGAGTTCGCGTTAATTTTTACTAATATATATAGTAAGAATGTAAACTAGACAACATGCAAATTGCTCGAACGGTTAGGGAAAAAAATTATTAAAAACCAACGCGAACTCTTAGCTACTTGAAACTTGCACTTTATTTATGGTTTTATATTATTTAACGATCTATAAAACTGCAAACCCGAAAATTTTTCTTAAAACTCAAAAAAAAAATATAATTTTGGTGAAATTTTGTTTTATAACATTTTTTCTGGTGAATGTTTTTCGTTGTGGGGAGCACTACCATTTTTCCATTTTTTTTCTGATTGCTCAGACCAAGAGTATTCAGCTTGTCGAGGCACTCCATCACCCGTTTAGATGTTATCTGGTGAGATGTAGGGGCCTTGATAGCCGCATGGCTGTCAGTCAAGATTGCGATGTTCTGATTCCGGTAGTTTCATTTGATATTAAAGACCGCACATCTTTCTATGGCGTATATTTCAGTCTGGAAAATAGACATATGTTTCAAGTATCTTAACCTCGGCCCAACTACCCCTGCCCCGGTACCCTCGTCGGTCAATGAGCCATCAGTTTCATGTTTCGGTTTATCCGATATGTCTTTGACCCTCAAATGACCTCGAACCTGACATTTTATGGAGGTTAACGGACCTCGTAGTCGGGTTCAGCGAGTCTAAAACCCCATAAATATAACCATTCAGGTTTATTCAATGCATTTTTGCTTACTTCATCCTCAAATGACCTCGAATCTGACGTGATGGGGGCTAACAGACCTCCGATTCGCATTCAGCGCGTCGAATAACATAGGGACATAGAGGTCTGGTTCAATATGCATGAGCTTTTTTTTTTTTGTAAACCTCTGTTATACTATGTCTCCATAAAGAGATTTATCTATAAAGATTTAAGAAATCAAGTTGCTAAATCACAACCGTCTCCATTGCCACAACGATATATGTTTGACATTCATATTTTTAAATATTTGACGTTTGCTTATGTATGATTTTATAAATACAGCTGCGGGTATTGATATACCGACCGATAAATACCTTCCTTCCCAGCGGAATTTCGTTATGTAAATTCTAAACATTATTGGCTTTTTATTCGTGGTAAATATGTATACTATATAGTTGGGAATATATAACTAATGGTACCATTTCGAGATTTAATTTAATATGGTAAATCTCAAAAGAAGGCTAAATCTGTGTTAAATCTCATAATGGAGACAAAGTATTATTAAAGCTTATGTTAAGTAAATTTAAATAAATAATATAGTACACGTGCCCATCTTTCATTCCACTTCACACCAACATTCACTCGCTGAGATTTTCAAGCCATCTTGAATGCACATCTAACTCACCGAGTGACAACATCATGGCCACAATTGTCACTATTTTAATCCTGTACGCCAGACGTCCTTTTTCCATTTGCGTTAAATACTCCGGCAAATCGCTCTCCATCTCATCCCAGTACAACATCAATGCCGGCCATTTGCGCGCCAATACAATAGCGCTAATGCAAACCACAATGATGGACATGCGAAATATTAGTGGCTCTGCGTTAAAGTCCCATGCATGCATGTAGTACATACGTAAGTTAAAGATGGACGGTGTACGTAGAAAGTGATTCAACATTGAGGCAATTCGAAGGGCAAAGAACGACATTTGAAGTGTGAGGCGCGCGCAGGCATGACAAAGACAAATGTTTATATAATAAAGTTTCAATGCAATTTCATTGCAATAAAGTTATAGATTTCTTTCTCTCTTTTTTGTGTTTAGAAACAAAAATAACTAGCACTAGTAATAACAACAAAGACATCCGAGTGTCAAGCGTAGTGGTTTATTTACTTGCAGCCACTTGAATTTATCAAATACCATGGCCGTGGTTAGTTTCTGTCGATTCGGCCACCTTGCCTCCGTATGGCTTTCAGCCATCTTATCGCTTACTATTCGCTTGCTTATTCTATTACTTACCTACACTATTGAAGTTGATAGGTTTATATAGCAATTTGTTTATTGACAATCCCAAATCAATTGTAGTCGTCAGTATGAAAAGCAAACAATATAAAGTTCGTAGATTTGTCCAAGAGAATGACAATTGGCTGGGCTGTGATGCTGTCACTCCCTTGACTGGCATGAAAGCGAAAAACTCGGCAAAGAGAAAGACTGGTTGATGGATAGCATAAAGGTAAAGATGTATACATACATAAGAATTTGTTAGTTGATATAAGATAATTTATAGGTTTTATGTATATTGGGTGTGCTAGACCACCCGCCGACCCCCTCTAAAATGGAGGGAAATATTTTTTTAGTGAAAAATGCAAAAATGCAAAAATGCAAAAATACCACCCCACGAAATCCGGGTTGCTCTATCTTTTGGTAGTACAACCGACTTCGCTCTGTAGAAGTTACGAGTTTTTGCATACCCGCCACCATAAACTTTAGTATAAACAAAAAAATATTGAGGTGTCAACCAGCAACAAATAAATCCACATTTCAAACTATGTACAAAAATTATAAAAATTTAATAAATTCTACCAATTGCACCCAAAAAATTTACAAAATTTTTATTTAAAATTTTTGGAAATATTTTAAGTACAAACTTTACGAATTACATCCAAAAATTTCAAAATTTTTATTCAGAATTTTTATAAAAATATTAGGTATGCAATTCTATAGCCCATTAAATTTGAGTATGACGAAGTGCAAATTTCAAGACGCTAGAAAATCGGGTTGATTTTTCTTCGATATGAAAGAAATTGTCCAGCACTATACGATAAACACACCCTCGAACCCTTTTCGAGATTTAATCGGGCGCATTTTAGAATCGCTAAAACTTCAGCCCAGAACACCCTGGGTCGTCTGTGCATGGAAATTGCGTGATCGGTACCGCGTCCATTGATACTTGCATCTGCCCTGTGCTCCGTCCTTGAACCGTCTGCGTATCAATGTACTTAGGTATCTGGGATCCATGGCAGGGTGTCCATTTGCCCAGTCTTCCCAAAGCAGATCTCTTTAATTATGGAGTCAGAAATACCGCAATACCAAATCAGTTGATTTCGCTTTGTCATAAGCGAATTTAGTGTGATGTAGATAAGCTCAGTTTGTCCCTTATGTGGAAACCTAACATTATTGCCGAAAAGGGCATTCAAATATGGATATCTGGGCAGGTCAGCGAGCGCTGGGTGAAATTCTTGGAATGCTATGTGGCTAAGGCCTTCTCACTATGGGTAGAACGGGTGCGATCTAAGACTCTTTAAGTTAAACAAGATGCCTCTATCTATGCTAGCAGGACTCTTGCCATATTACAAGAAACAAAAAAAATTAAATTTTTGTCCGAACGCCTTTTTACATTTTTCGGAAGCGCCTACATTCGGCAAAAGCCAATCTATTGTTCTACCAGTTTAATTTACTGACTTTAGGGTGGTGCGTTAAGGAGATAAGAACAGAGATCTAGTGATTAGGCACTAGAGCACGTGATACTTGCGGTCAATGAATTCCGGAATAAAAAAAAAAATGTTCTCCTCGAGATAAGCGCATCGGTATATCATACTTTGAGATTCGACTATAAATGTCAAATATATATTCGAAAATGCCCCTACGTTAGGCCAAACAAAAATTTAAGTTCTTTCGAAAAGCCTTGCATAAATACTTTGGACTCAGGGGTGTACGGCGAACTTTTTTTTTGGAACGATCTAATGTACATAGTGCTTAATGTGCATATATTCACCTCTTCCTACCGCTTGATGAAAACTGCCATCGGGTTGAAACTTTTTCTTCTCCGACTTAGCTAAAACTTCTGTAATAACAAAATCGGCTATATGTAGTGAAAAAAGTCACTCGACATAATCCAGAAAGTTAAGCTTTTTTAAATCGTCGTTTAAAGTATAAAACCGCGTATTGTCATTCTGCAAAACCGCGTAACTGACTTTTGCTGCCAAAAAAATTTAGTTTGCTCACACAAGCTATTGGCGCAATCCTTATCCATTCGTCCTGAAATATTACTAGCCAGAAATGAGATTTCTTTATAAAAAAGAGAACCATTTTGAATATGAGTGTTTTTGCTCTCTAAAAAATTATTTATGCAACGTCACATACGCGGTTTTGCATTTTGTTGATACGCGGTTTTGTACTCTAAACGACGAAATTATATATACTTACATACTTATCTACATATGCATTTATATTAGTTACTACAATTATTCATATGCACATGGCAATGCATAATATGTAGTTAAATACATACACCTACGATCGAAATAAAAGCAGCGCAACATTTTGACCATTTTTCGCTATTTGTTGTTTAGGAAATTGTATGTTGGATTATTATGAAAGCGAATAACAAACACCGTCTAGATTCATATTTCAAACTTTGTACAACATTTATAATAAGTAATTAAAAAAAAAAAATTAAGACAAACTTTTATAAATGTTTAATAAAAAAGAAAAATCGACCCCTGCACCACTTATTTAATAGCAAAATTTTTGGAGGGGTTACTACTTTCTGTTTAAGTCATATGCTTTTCCAAATATGAACCAAATCGGACCATAAATACGGATTTCCGAATATCTCGACTCCTGCGCCACCTATCGGGCAAAATGTTTTGTAGAGTTATTTCATTTCCTACAAGTGGTATACATTTTAAATCAAAAATATCAACACCTGCGTCACCTAACGGATTAATGGCTCTATCGTATTGCATTTTCATCGGGTTCTGAGCTAAGTTTCAAGTTTCGAGCTCATCGGGAAGCTGATCAAAAATGATTGTAAGATTTGATTATCGACAGATGTAGCAAAAACTGGTGAAAATTCAAAAATTGTTCGCCATAATTTAAAACTTTTTAACTTTAGAAAATTATAAAGTATGCAGTTCCATAGCCTATTTATTTTTAATAAAATAAAGTGTATGTTTGAAGTGCCTATGAATTCGCATTAATTTTTATTCAATTTTTGTTTGCACCTCCATGGCGAGCGACCAAAAAAAAAATAAAATAAAAAATATTAAAAGCCAACGCGGATTTGCTGCATTTTATTATTTTTTCTAAAATAAAAGTTCAGGGAAAAAAATTAAATTTTGGTAAAGATGATTGTTTAAATTTTTATAATTTTTGTACAAAACAAAAAATGTGAATTATACATTTAATTTGTTTGTTATATAATGAGATATATTTCAAAAAATAAAAAATGAACATTAAATAAAGAAAATACAAATAGCCAAACCTGGTCGAAATTTGGCACTGCTATTATTTTCACCGTTTGTATACATAATAGTACATACGTATATTCCAGTGGTGTTAATTAGTTGCTTACTTGGTGGTTTATCTATCTGCAAATGCAGCAGCTCCATTTGGGCGAGAAATTCGGTACACGTACGCTTAATTAGTAGAGCTTTGTGGTCACGCTGGGGCGTTGATGGTCCAAATATTGCGGCAACATTTGTGGCACTTTGGCTGTAAATTGGTAAGCTCATTATATTGAAACTTTGCGGGATTTGAAACGGTGTACATATATATATGTACATATGCCTATGTGCATGCGTATGTATTTACATTAGGGTGGTCCAAAACAAGTCGGATTTTTTTATGATTTCACCCCAAGGATTGTTCTATATCGACAAAAATATACAACCATTCTTTTATTTTGAAATGAAACCAAAAACAATACCCAATTGTTTATTTAACCATTTTCTAACACTGAAAAGTTTTTATTCTGTCCCCAATGCATTTGCTGGCATTTTCTGCAGGTCTTGGCAGACCTATAAAATAGAGTTACTATGGAAAAAAATGGTTAAATAAATAATTGAGTAATATTTTTGGGAATCTCCTGAAGAGGAACCTAGTTTTCCCGATCAAAAACTGTTGATTTTCAAGAATTCGTTTTTTCCATATAAAATACATGGAAAATTTTGAACGCTTTGAGCGACCTCTAAATATTTTTTGATTTCAAAATGAAAAGATCGGTGTATACTTTTTCTCTATAGAACAATCCTAGGTTGGGAGAGCATAAAGATTCCGACTTTATTTTTTCACATACACCTTTGGACCACCCTAATGGACATACATATGTTTGTGTACTTTGCAACAAGTGAACGGAAGTAAACTGTCGACAATTGCCAATTCATGCCCTATTATACAGCGTGTATATATACTTCTTACATATTTATGTATGTATCTATGTATAATAATTTATATGAATTAAATATGTCAATTTTAAACTTAATTAAGGAAGTAGAAACTCACTTAATTGAGTAAAACAAAATCATAAACTAAGTTTTTTCCAAATAAATATAGACAAAAATACTTTCTAGGACGCGAACGCTTCAAAATTTTTTGCATACGAACGCAAAATATTATTAACTTAATAATGGATTTGTGAAAAATAAGTCATTATTCGGCATTTATAGTTTCAAAATGGTCGATTCATAAACAAATTTTTATGAAGGAAACTTTACATAATTCTTATATGCGTACATACATACAATTGTATATACAAATTTTATTATTTAAAAATCGTTAAATGATCGATTTTTAAACGATTATATAGTCATAGCTATCATTTCGATTTGAAAGTTGAAAAATGCAAACACTGCTTTAGGTGCACTCACCTAAGCCGGCGCGTGCCGCCCTTGTCACACTGACGACGCCACATACGTTGGCTTTTGCGCATTTGCTGTTGTTGTTGCATGCGTAAACGCGCATCCGCAGTGACATTTCCGATTTTCCAACCGATTTTAAGTGCGAATTTCATAATTTGCCTTTAACACACGTACCGGTATGTGCGTTGACTTATTCAAGTAAGTGATTTCATGCCACTAGACATCGAAAATGTTGTGGCTTTTAACTGTAGCTAGTGGCAGCATACTCGAATGACAACCGAAATACGAATGTAGAACAACGAATGTCAAATGTATATTTCAGCCATTAGCAATAATGAGGTTTTTATGTGGAAACTCGTACGGACATGCATGCATACATATGTTGCATACTTAGGTGTTTTTGTTTTGTTTTTGCCTATTTGTGTTTTGAAAGTTCACACGCAATCGACTTACTTACATACGTATGTAAAATGGGTGCACATATGCTCCTAATTGTGTCACCTGGCAAATTCCCACGGTCCACGCTTCACGAAAGGTATATCAGAACTCAAGCAATTAAGTTTACACACTGTCTGAGCAATTTTTCAAATAAAATACCTACTGACAAAACGAATTAAAGTGCATTACCCAAAGGAGTGGAGTGGAGTGGAGTGGAGTGGAGTGGAGTGGAGTGGAGTGGAGTGGAGTGGAGTGGAGTGGAGT